ATAATGTTAACAAAATTATTATTTTATTATTATTCAATTTCTATACAAAATATATGTATATATACGAGTATATATATTGTACTCTCTTAGGTCTCTGTATCCTTAAACTATTTATATTGAAATTGTTTGTTCTTCTTTATCTTTTTTGTTTCTAGAATGTGTTCATTTTATACTTCCTATCCTTTTTTTTGGAATTTCATATTGAAAAGCAATGAAAAATGAATATAAGCTTAAATTATTAAGATAATAACCAGTAATAATAATATTATTTTTCTATAATATATTTTGCTAATAAATAGTTTGTCCAATGATTCATTTTAATAAAATTTATTGAAATAATGAAAGCAAAAGCCAGCGCAAAATATCCTTAAATACAATAAAAACTACGGCATGTCACAAATTACGAGTGATTAAACTCTTGATTATCGACCTTAAAGTAGTTCAGGATTAAAGGATTAATAAGCAAAAACCAAATTGAATTCCACTTACAAATAATGAAATTTGAGGTAAGAGCCATAAACATTTAGGCATATCTCGCTTTGGAATGGCGCTTGAGCTTATGCAACAACAAGAGCTATGTGGCGAAAAAGGAACGAAGCAGGAACGGGACACATTAAGCAGGTGGAATCTCAATATTGAGGTTGGCATTTTGACTGGACATATTTTATTGGAAAAAATAGCCAAGACACTGTGCATTTACTTATCGGCTGATTGCATGGGACGCCGACACACCGGGATTTTGGACAGATGCTCTCCAAGTGCGTGGGGTGGGGTGCGTGGGTGTTGTGCTGAACTTTTTCAAGCGACTTGGATGGATTTAGCGAGAAGGGGTGTGTCATGTAGGGATGCCGATGGTATATTTTCAAAAAGGAAATTTTCCGAGATCCGGATCCCATATATTTTATTATCGCCTTTTATCACTTTTAGCGTCAACCTGAATATTAACTGTACGGCTTTAGGATTAATATAAATAATTAACTTATAAATATAAGTCTTATTGGCAAAATAATTAAAATTTTCATAGTTTCTCATCTCAACATCTACCCAATTTTGTACACTGGTACTGTATATGTTTGTACATACATTATATTCTTATGAATATAGATAAGAACAATTTAACTATATTATTAAGCCGTTGCAACAAGTTGTTATCCTAAAGCAAAACTATTGTATTCCGAAAAAAATAAAACTATTATAATAAAATGTTTACAATAACATTTTTAAAAGATATAGACGAGGATGTTAAAAGCGAATAATAATCTAAAATAATTTTCTGATAATCCATAGACTCTATTTTTCATTATGATTTCATTTCAGTCATTATAATACTAATAGAAATAATAGAAACTATATAGAAATGATTTTAATGCCATTAGTTATTATTTTTAACAATATTAAATGGAAAAAGATAAATTTTTAGTAATTTATTTTCAATATTTTTTTTGAGAAATGTGGATACAATCTAGCACAATAATTTTATAGAAAGGGTGTTGATTACTGTTAAGCTTATAAAAGAAAAATATTAATTTTTAGTTCAGCCCTTAAGCAGTTCAAATTATTTGTCAAAAGATATGTTGCAATTACAAAAATCTTTTCAATAAAGAACAATTTTTTATAGGTTATTAGGGATTTGATTCATATTTTTTTGAAAATCAATATAAATAAAACTATTTTGAATTAAAAGACTGTTTCCATGATTTAATAAATTGGTGTCATAGGAAAATTAAGCAGCTACTGCAATGTTATACTATAAATAAGTTTGCAAACGAATAATCTATAAATTAAAAAAGATTACATGAACCGCCACGCAGTTGCAGAGCATGTCAGGGTGTGTCATGTCAATTATTAATTTTTAAAGACCAAATCATCTCTACTCCACGCTTTCAAACCATTTCTATTCAGTACTTTAATTAAAATTGTTTGTTTATAAATATAGGTTAAAGCAGCAATCGAAAATCCCAAGGGAAATTTTTACAATGAAATAAATTATTGGGTTTGCCCTACAATTATATCCGAGTCCAATGATATTGATTTATTAGCACACCCCTGGTTGATTTTAACTATGTATTTTATTTGCCACCACAACCTGAAAAAAAATACATTTATAATTGCTAAACAACCTGGATTTAAATATTTACATGCCTACATATTTAAATTTTATAAAGCATATTATTATTTAAGAATGACTACTTAGAACGACTCAGAACTAAAATTAACTCGCACTGGACAATGTATAAAACCAAATGTCTTACCAACACCTACATGACACACGAACGCTTTCACACATAATATGGACTCAAAAATATTTACACTATAATCTCTTCCAATTCAAAATAACAAAAGAAACATATAAAGTACACTGTTTATTGATCAGGAAGGAATTAAAATAAGAAGTTTTATTAGTTTATAAGTATAAATATATTTATTTTAGGCACATCTACATCTATATATTCTATACGAAATATAACGTATTATGTACGAGTATTAGACCTATTGACCTATATAAATTCAATTAAATTTTTATATCATCTCCTTTTCTCTTAAAATAATACATCATGATATACCAACTATAAAATCTGTTATTCTAAGAAATTCATCATGTATACATACCTAACATGTAAGGCCTACATTATATACATCTGGATATAAAAATAATTTAATTTACTTAAAATAAATATTATATTTTCTTTATTTATAACACTCATTTGAATAAAATAAATTCAAAAAACCACATTTATTCAATCATGCTTGAACAAATTAAAGAAACCACCATTAAAATGGACACACTAAAACCATAATCTTTTTTTTTTTATATAATTTACATTTTATGTCCATAAAAAAGAAACTGTCACATGTATGGATTCAATCTATCAATGAGGTATTTATCTTGAAATTGTGGATAATTTGAAGAGGTAACGGGACAAACACGGAATTCACGATTAAAACTATATTAAACGTAATGAAATTTTTGTTACTTATATCAAATTTAAAACTGTTATACTAATTACAATATTAAATTATAACAGTTATCTATTTTGGTTTGATAATTATAACAGTTATTCATTTTGGTCTATGACAAAACTTCTTTTCCTTCTTAGTCCACTTGATAGCGTTAGAATCTTCCACTTGAATTTCAGAGTCAAGCATCAGTTTCACTGAAGTCATTGAATAAGTCATTTAGGTAACTAAGCGGTGATCAGCCTGCTGTAGTTTTTTATTATAAAAAATATTTAAAGTTAAAAAAATATGATAAATTTTTTTGCACTGAGGCCAGGTATAATTCTGAATAGATTTTCAAAACTGTTATACTAACGTATTTTCATAAAAGAACATTAATTACGAATAAAAAAATAAAAATTCTTGTAAAATCTAAAAGTAAAGTTTTGACAAAGATTGGATGTCAAAACTCAGATTATTAGTAGAAAAGTACATATTAAGAAAGTAAATCATAGTATGTAACCTACATAACATATGCAAACTTTTGAATTTAATCTTAACAATGTTTTGTTGTACAAAAACTCTTAAGTAAACTAATTGAACAGGTTTCTTTTAATTTTTAATATTAATTTTCTTTCTAAATATTTTAAAAATCTTCAATTATACACACAAGCATAAATACAAATTCACATATATATGTACATTGGTATAATTTTTGCATACATAATTATGTTTGTGCATTTAGTGGGTTATAATCACTGTAAATGAAGCAAAGTTGTACAAAAAAATTATTACCCATCTATTTATTGGGAATTGAATAGCTTTTCCTTTTGAAATTTTCAAAATAAAATCAAAAGGAAAAACTTTATTTTTATTTAACCCATATATAGAAAATGAAAGAAGCCTCAAAATTTAAATATTATTTTTCAAGCTTATATAATACTAGGCATAATTATAAGCCTGTGAAATACTTATCAAGTATAGGAACTGGTATAGTAAGTATGTATGTATATAATTATAACTAAAGATACTTATACATACATGTATGCATGTATATTATACATACATTATATATGTAGGTATTTAACCAAAACTATAGCGAGGGATTATTAGCAGCTATTTAATAATTTCAATTATGTTTTATTTTTGTTTGAATATTCAAAAAAAATATTATCTTGGATGCCTATACATACATGTGTATGTACCTACATCCAAATACATCAATTAATACTCATGTCTACTACTCACATAATCTTCCTCCCTATCTGAATTTTTTCTTTAAATAAAAAAATAAATAAACTTAAAACTTTAAAATTTACTTTTTACAACACTAAACACGTCTGGTTTATGCATTAGATAAGCAAATACTGAAGCGATCACACAGTAATTGGCATTTCGTACGCTCAATGTCAAAGAGCGCGGAACATCAGAAATTAAATTTTGAAGCGCATGTATTTTTCACAAAAATCGCCTTTCGAATTTAATTTATTTTGCAATTTCCACATGTATAATTTTTTTACTCCCTAAAAGTTTAATAAAAATGCTCTTTTTGCCATACTCACAACACAAGCTATTTTTCAAAAACAAATGTCGGTACAATAGTATTTTTTATCTGCACAATTATAATCATATTAATCCGAATATTAATGTAGCTTTTATAAATGTACACAAAATCACAAATAGATCATAAATTAAATTTTTTAACTTATTAAAATGTACCTTCCATAAAAGCTTGAACTGTACTTAACGTACATTACATATGTGTGTGTATGCCACAGTTAATTCATTTGAATAACACCAAAAATTAAAATATTTTATTCCTTATTTTTTCCATATTTCTTATAAAAAATTATTTTTTCTGTTTTCTTTTTCTGTTCTACACTTTAAATTAAAGAAGTTATTGAACATTGAGAAAAATTGAGAAACATTAAAACATAAGAAAAAAATACAGTTTGACAAATTCTGTTTGATTTCTTGTTCATTTAAGATTAAGAGATTTTTTTTATATTTAATTTTGCATATTTTCAGGAGAGCATAAAATAAATTAATTTTTTTTTTTTCAGATTGATTTCATTTTTCACAATATGTATTGGAGCAATATTAGGAATCGATTTCCGTGGGCAAGGAATTTTAGGTATATATTTTTATAAATTTAATTTTAAAATATAATTAGTATGCTATATAAAATTGTTTGTTGCCAGATGTATAATTATATTACTATCAATAAAAGGATTAACATTTGACAGAACGAAAATATTGGTCCCATTTTTTCATTTTTAGTTAGATCTAATATTTTAATATCTTATTTTAATGAAATGATTATGTTAAATTTTGTGTTCCGCATTCTGTTCTGAGGAATGAAGAATTAACTGTTTTTACGCAATGACCCTTGGTAAACATACGAAATGATAAATTTTGTTTATAAAACAACTTGATGATTTCCAAATAGAAGAGTTTTATTGGTTATAGAAATGTGGTATTGAATTAAAACAATTTCGCTCCACTCTAATGCAACGCTTTTGCAAATTAGCTTGAAAAATATCAAAATTGTTTCGGTTTTTGCTGTTTCGTTTCGTTCCCTTTTCATATGATCGATTTTTTATCGTAGCTTTTAAATTTCATTTTTATTCGTTCTTTACTTCTTTGAAATAGTTGTCAAGTAAAGAGCCATATTTTTTTGAATTTCAAAAGAATTTTTTTTTAAATTTGGAAGGAGAAAATTCTGATTTTTGGTTTTTGCCGTTGAATTTTTAAGTAATTTTCAAGTGCTAATATTAATTTTTTAACTAAATATTGTAATAGCCGTAAATTTGAAGATTTTCAATATTTCTCATTATAAAAACGAAGGTCACCTTTTTTGAATTGATCAAAAATTGTAAGTAGCTGCATTTTGGTAATACAAATACATTCTAATTTAAATATCTAATAAATTAGGTTAAAAATGGCGCTATCTGTAGTAGAATCGAACAATATGGGAAATAAAGATTTACAATTAATTGAGGAAAATATTCCTCTTCACAATGATTGTGCAACAAATTTACAGTCAACTGGTGATAGTTCAACTCTCAAACATCCACTTGAAAATACATGGACATTATGGTATTTAGAAAATGATCGTACAAAATCATGGGAGGAACTCCAAAATGAAATTACAAGTTTTGATACAGTCGAAGATTTTTGGAGTTTATGTAATCATATTAAGTCTGCATCGGAAATCAAAATTGGTAGTGATTATTCGTTATTTAAAAAAGGTATACGTCCAATGTGGGAAGATAATGCTAATAAAAAAGGTGGACGTTGGGTAATTACATTAGAGAGAAAACAACATAAAATTTTGGACAATATTTGGTTAGATGTATTACTTAGTTTAATTGGTGAGGCTTTTGATAATTCAACTGAAATTTGTGGTGCTGTTCTTAATGTTCGATCAAAATTCGACAAAATATCAGTATGGACTGCTAATGGTAAAAATGAAGAAGGAATAATGGAAATTGGTAGAAAATTAAAAGAAAATCTTCATCTTGATTCTTATGGTATTATAATACAATATGAATTGCATAAGGATACAATGGTCAAATCAGGAGCTGGTATCAAATCTATTTATTCAATTTAAATAATCTTGTTATTTTTGTTAAAAATTTTTGCTCATTTGTGATTGAATTGTACCTATGTACCTACTTACCCAGGGGCAATAAAAATTTTGATATGAAAAACAAAATTTGGTATTCAAATCTGCCAATAAGATTAAAATTTGTAAGAAGATATTTCAGGGTTAAATACCAATTACTTGCGGGATTTTAGATAAACTAGATAGTAGGTATATTGCAAAATGAAAATTTTGATTAATAGTCGCGTGATTGAAAGAAATTTTTAAAATGCATACATATATGTGCCCAGATAGGCTATACATTATATTTATTTACCTATCCTATTTGTTGTCATTTTTATATAAATTTAACATATCATTTCTACATCAACTAATTATGATGTAGAAATGGTACTTACATAAAATTTTATGTAGTTATTTGAAATTTTTGTATTTTTAAGTGGGTATGTCTACCTACTTAAATGTAATCACAATAAAATAAATTAGTAATACCATCCACATTTACAGAAATAAAAGAGTGGGGCTTATTTTTGAATTCTCACTACAGCTGGAAAGATTACACTGATACTATGTAGTGCCAACCTACATATTTAAATTAATAATTAATTTTGCGCCGCAGATAATTAATAAATATGATATATTAATTTTATAGATAATTTTAAGAAAAGAAACTTTTGATCATTAAATTTAATTTCTGCGATAAGGATACAAACTTTCAGAAGTACTTCAGTATACCTACATGTAAATAAAAATATACATTGTATTTTATATAATATACTCTTATATACTTACGTATATGAAATATTAATTTATTCCTCAATAATAAAATATGAATACAAAAAAAGTTTACAAACGTACTCAAGTAAACTGGAATTTAAATAATGTATATACATACATCGCACTTTTGTTAACATTTAGACAAACAAATTTATTTTTGCTTTTAAATTCCAAATTCGAGTTATGTATTTCTATTGTAAGACAAAAGGCTTAAAACAACCAAAAACAAAAAGCCTATTAACTTTAAAAGTTCAAATAAAAAGAATATTTTCGTTATTTCATCATACATAAGCATATTGTGAGTAAATGCGTGAATATTATAACAAAGTGGTTAAAGAATAGCGAAAATCTGGCAATATAAAAATCTGAAACAGACCCCACATCTTTCAAAAATTATTAGAGTGCGTGGTAAATTTGAGTACATCTACAAACATATTATGTATGAAAAGACAATGTAAGGAAAGTATTTATGTAGGTTTGTAAATAATATTTTTATGTAATGTAAATTGTTATTCTATTTCCATTCGATTATATTATATAGGTACATATTTAAATATTTATGCGTACCTATACATATATATTATATTTTTTTTGAATCTATGATGATGCTATTGAGGATATTATTTTTATATGAATAATTCATAAAAAAGGAAACAATATAAAAAATGAAGGAGCAATTTTTTTTGTCTTGTATAATATATTTTCAAAATGTAAATTATTGTTTTTCATTTTATGATACTTCATGAAGCAAGTATAAAAATATAATATATAATATGTTCATTACATAATACATACCTACATAGCTGTATGTAGAATTGGTAAATAACAATATTTGTTACATAATGTAACCACCCACGTATGTGAAATTCCAATAACACTTTTAACTTATTGTACTTATTACATTCTTGTAGTACTTTCACTTTGTACATACATATGTACCCTTATCATGTTTTTAAAGCTAATAAAATTTCACTTTCGGGGAAACCAAAAGAAGTGTAAAGAGGTTTATAATTTCCTCTCTTAAAAGTAATTTCAAAGAATTTCATCAAAATATTCTAATAGGTAATTAAACTTTTTGCTTTTAATAAGAATTTTTTTGTTTTGAATTTTCACTTACAGACTTACATTATTTGTAATACATAAATGGACTAAATGCCTTATTTTTTTTAAAGAAGTTAATATAAATATAAAAAATATAAACAAATTTTCTTTCCTATTTTAATTAAGAAAATATTTAATTTTGAAAAAATCCTTTTTAATTTTAGATGCCTTCATGGATTTCAATTTAATGGAAATGATACCAGTGCCACCAGAGAATGGTGTTGAATTTATTACCGGTTCTGATGGTTTTGTTGCATATCAATTTAAAACTGGAGCTGATGTTAAATTTCCATATCGTCTTGTATTACCAGAAAAATTAAATGAATTTGCAATTATGGCAACATTTCGTCCAAATTCACGAACTGGTGGCTATTTATTCAGCATTGTAAATCCATTAGATACAGTTGTACAATTAGGTATACATATATCACCGGCTGATCGACGTGATAAATGGAATATTACATTATTATACACTGATGCTAGTATACATATGGCAACTAAAAAATTAGTAACATTTGAAATTGATTATTCTAAGAGATGGCAGAAAATTGCATTTGAAGTATTAAGCAATAAATTGACTTTCTTTTATGATTGCGTTGAAGTTGAAATGAGATTGGTGAAAAGGGAACCACCTGAATTAGTGTTTGATTCAGCATCAACACTATATCTAGCACAAGGTGGTTCAATGTTAAAAGGGCACTTTGAGGTAAGTGGAAATCTTTTAAAAATTGCTTTTAAATTTTTATATATTTTAAATAAAAATCCTGAATCTCTTTTTTAATGCCATGGATCTGTGATTTTCTACGATATTTTATTAAAATTTATTTTACACAAATTTTTATAAGTAAAATTTATAAAATGAAAGCTTATAAATTATTTATTGTATATATTTAGAAACTAATAAATTTGAAATGTTTAATAAATTTATAGCTATTTACAAATTGAGTAGGTATGTTGAAATTTTTTATGTGGAAAATTTTCTTTTAATTGTATAAAATCAATTAGAAAACAAACCCATTTCTAACAATAGTGCATTAATGCGAGATGTTACGAAAAAATCTTAAAAATACAATATTTCTTATTATACCTAAAATTATGAATATAGCTTTTAAAGTGCATTATTATAATTGATAATTGATAGTATAATATTTATATTGAATACTTATTGAAGAACTAAAGCTACTTATGTACATTTGTATTATTATGTTATATTGTTGCTATTTTTATATTGTTCTAAGTTACAGGCAATCAGTATGATTATATGTGTGGGCTAAACTCAGTTGCATCATCTCTGATGATAAATATATGAGAGTATTGAATACAATGGTAAATCCAATAATAAAATTTGCCAGTATTTATGAATTCGTAAGTACATCTAGTTTTTTTTTTTCATATTGTGGGTAATTTTTTTGAAATTGTATAGAGAAATTTGAAAATCTAAACCTTTTATTTTGTTATGCAGTTTGAATGGTTGTACATAATATGATTTATGAATATTATGTAAAATTTGCTTAGTGCATACCCATTGTTTGTAACATAAATCTAAAATTTTTAAAGAAAACTCAAAATTTTAAAGTGATTAAAATTTTGATTCATTAAAATTTCATAAATTTTCTCAATTATTATATTGTATAATATTATGAGAAGATGAAATAAAAAGAAAATCTTTGAAAAGCTCTCAAGAATTTTTCAGACAAAACCACTTTAATATTTTTAAGCACATATTGTGTGTGTGTAAACGTTATTTATTAATAATTTTTTAAAGAAGTCTTTGGAAAATATTATAGAAATTATGTAAAATTTTACATTAATGTTAAACTGTAAAAAAAATTACAATATGTAATATGTGGTCTAAGATTTTGAGCATAGAAATTTTTTGTTTTTTACTTTTTCTTTCTTATTTAATTATAGGTCTGTAAATTCTAAATATGTGATTCTTTAGACATAAAAAAAAACAATTCTATAATAACATATGTTAATGTACCTGCACAAATGGTTTCTAAAATTAAAAAGGTTATCAGTTAAAGAGCATTAGCAAAAATTTATTTTTGTAAAAACATATGCCTTTGTTCTTAATTATTTTTATGTGTGTTACAATAATATTTTTTTTTTACTTTGATATGCTTTAAAATTATTTTGATTAATTATTTGAAGAAAAACTTTTATGAAAATTGTAATTAATTTTTTTAAGGATATTTAGAAAGACTGAAAATCTGTGTAACAAAATATCGAAAATTCAAGACTTACAAATTTATGAAGTAATTTTCAAATAACGTTCAGCAAATTACATTCGGTATTGATTTTGAATGTGGAGGAGGCGGAGGGGAATTTATAATATAATTTAGGGTGCATATCGAATTCCTTTTAAGAGCATTTCTAATGGAAATTTTCTAAATTTAATTGAAGAGCAGAAGCAAATTAACATTTCTAAATCTAGACTTAAAGTCGAAAGCGAAATGATCAGAATGTGATTTATCTAGTCTTTTAAAGAATTCGGTAGCTGATTAGCAAATTCTTGTTTCCGGTTTTGATTTCTATTTTAATGATAAACATTCAACTTTCAACTTGTTATATTCAATTAGTAGTTGAAACTGGCGCCAAAATTGTGAGTTTAAAAAACTTTTTTTAATTTTCAGCTTCTGACTTTTCCAAGTAACCCTATTACTTTATTAAATCATTGGTATATGTTGTGAATTCTATTATCTTTAAGTCAAATAACATACTTATAATTAATACTCCTTTAAACTTTTTAAAGCTATTCATTCACCTTGTACATTTTGTTTTAATCTAAAAGTTGAGTAAGGTTAGTTTGTTTTTTTTTTCATCATTTCTTTTATTCATTTAAAAATAATTTATATAAAAATATAATATTTTAGCTATATTTATACATTGTATATATATAAATTTTGTAAGCATAAATTTTCTTTATGTCCATAAAATATTTCATTCACCTTATATATTTTTCGATAAATTGTCATTGAAATGAAACGGAAAGAAAATTAAGAAAGGAAGCAATTATTGTCTGGTAATAATTGTCTGAAAAATGTTCTATTATTATATTTTATTTATTATCTGTTTATATAACTGGAAAAAAAGCAAAAAAAAACCTAATAACGAAGGCTTCTCTATTATTACCCCTAACGTAAATGCCAATTAATTAATTTTTAAATTATGAGGAGTTACAAAGGGAAGAGTAATGTCCTTATATTGTTACAATAATTTTTAATTTGTTTTTGTATTTGGTTTATCAATAAGTTTTAGAAAAATTATTATCTAATTTTGAAAGTTATCACAATTTAGTGAACTCTTTTATATGAATTACATGTTTTCCATAAAACTACAGTATATAAATTGATTTTTATTTAGAATTACTTAAATTGAAAATTCTTTAATGATGTCTTTGCGTTAATATAACGAGAATTGGAATTATTGTGTCAACTCGCTGATATTCGTATGAATGAGTTAATTTAAGTAATGCCTAACAACCGCAATAGAAATTCGCATGATTTTAATTGTTGCTGCTTTACATTGTAGCCTTAATATAAAAATACTTTACCTTCTATTTGAGTATAGCAACTTGAATATTTTCAAATATAATTAAATTATTTTTGAATTTGTGTGGCAGCCCTATCACCGGATTCGAGTGTGCGATATTTCAGCACCGCAATTCGAATTATGTCTGAGATAACTTCAAATAATTTTAGAAGTTTTTCGACAGTTTTTTCGAGCAGCTGCTTACATTGCACGTGAATTAAATAATTTAAGTTCTAGGTTTTAAAAATGCTCTTTTAAGAACAATGAGCTTTTAAACTCATTTTTAAAATCTGAAAATCTGATTAACTCAGAGTAATTGTACTCTCAATTATACCCAAATTCTTTTATATATCGACGATGAACAGGACCGTAAATGTCTATGTCTCAAACCCTTAGTTCACTTAAAAAGTATTTTCTGCCTTGAAAAACTGTAATTTAAATTATTCTTAACTATCAATTCAACATTTACTTAAATTAATATTTATTTGAGTAACCTTGAAAGTGTTATACCCATTAAATCACATATAAATTTAAATATTAATCTTACACAATTTATTTGCAGTAAATTTATTTTGAATCCATTATTATTTAATATTATTATTCTAAAAGAAATAATAATTAAATTAAATTGTATAGGCAATAAACATTATTTAATAAATAAAAAAATTTTAATATTGAAATATTCTAAATCTTCCAACCCTACAAATAAAACATTTTTTATTTAATATTTTATAAATGCAAAGAATTTATACTCGTACGTATATAAAATGTATGTGCTATCCACTTACGATTATATCCTTAAATTTTCCTTAATATACTTGAATACAAAAAAAAAACAATAATGCTATCTATTTAATATTTATATATTTAAGCAAACATACATGTATGTGTGTATGTATGTACAAATATAATATTATTACATTCATTTGCCGTACTATACAATCTCTATTTTTCAATTATAATTTATAAAAAAAAAATAATATGGTACATTTGAAATCCCATGAAGAATGGTATAATTTACTATATGTATGTACGTAGCGTAAGTGTACATAAGTATATTCACATAAGTGAATATTAACCATATAATATAAGAGTATGTGTATGTATGTATGTATAATAGCAACCTTTACCTAATTTTTATTTATTTATATTGACATACTTTTACATTATTTTTTTAAATTATAATATTATATACGAATATAAATATATGTATATATCTGTAATACACCACATATTTTATATTATAAAAATGCCGTATAATTTCAAAATATCCTTATACTATAATGTATAAAAAATCTACATTTTATACTAGGTTTATACTTTATTTGCAATTTAATACAGACAAATTTAGTAACATAAATTTTTCCTATGATGTATCTTTAAAAAACAAAAAAAAATATTATACCACAAAATATAACATTATTATATTTTATACTGTTATAAAAGATAACACAAACACAATATACATATTAATATTTTACCATCTTATCAAAAAAATTATATTGAAATTTTCTCTTTAGTTACTTGAGCGCTAAATATTTTATATGTGACAATTTTAATAACTAATTTTATGAGAAGAAATTTTAGTTTAAACAGAGCATGTCGGCACTCTTTTGTTAACTATAGTTATATATATGTACAGGACATAATGCAAATATAGTAATGTAATGTTAAAAAAAATACAAAACAGTATTAGTATATATCTATTTGTATGTATATTTTATATTTTGTAATATCCTTTAAATACAAACCACGAGTTCATAATTTACGATACGAATATACGATATTAAAAAATGCAGAGAAGGCGCATAACCACAAGAATATTATAGAGAATGAGAGAAGATATCATGTCATGTTTGTTATCAGCGGTTATCATTTCAGCTCAAATTACAACAAAATAAAAGCGAAAAGAATGCAAAAAAAAAAGAAAGGTAATCAAAACAAATTTGTGTGTTTATGAATATTGTTACAGTTATTTTTCCGTTATTTTATGTATCCATTCAATTTTATCAGGCCTTGCATTGCAGTTTGTTTTTAATTCTCTAAAACAATTTTTAAGAGAATTTACATATTTTTACTCTCTCCGTTTTTTTTTATCTCGTTTTTCCTAAATAACATGTGCGAACTCAAAAATATTCTCTTAAATTTTTTTCTCTTTCAATTTTTTAACATGAATTTGTTTTGTATTTGAATTTAAGAGAGAATGTTTTTTTTTTTTTTGTTATAGGAATTTTCTCTGGTCTAATTTTATTGAAATGCTGGAAAATTTCACTTCTGCGAATACAATTTTGCTTTATTTTTTTACACTGGCTGCTTTTTATATGAAGCATAAAAGATATATGAAAAAATTTTTTCCGAGTTTTCTTACTGCTATTTATGTTAACAAAATAAAAGAACAAAAAAAAAAATCTCTACTCTATATATGGGAAAAGGAATTCTAGTATACTATTATAGATATACAAAAATATTTATGTATATACAGTAGAAATCTGCTCGAGTGAACATAATAAAAACACAGGCTGTTCGTTCTATTGAACCTGTTCACTGTATTAAATGTCAAATAAATTAAACTAAAAAGTAGTTTTTAAAGCTTTATTGTTTAGAAAAGTATTCAGTTACTTTTTTTTGAATTTTTTTTTTATTTGAAATTTTTAAAACAATATTTACTCTTGTGTGACTTGGTCGGTTAACAAGATATCGTTGTCTGCAGCCCATTGTATAGTCTTATTTAGCGGTTCAAGGGCTTCATAATCAGAAATTTTTGCTTCAACTGTTTCTATCACATTTTCGGTTAAATTAGTAACCGAATTTGGCTTTTTAACTTCAGTTTTCTGCTATTAATCGCGCACACGGTTGATTTAGCTATACCAAATTTCTTAGATAATGTTGTAACACTTACTCCTGACTCTAAAGATTTTATAATTTTAATTTTTTCATTTAAATTCAAATGTTTTCTTTTAATATTTGTTTTCGGTATTTTAAAAAAAACTTGAACACTTTTATTTTATCGAAATTACACTTTAATTGAATGCCATTACCTAACACAATGTATGACTTATATGTTAAATAAACAAAATAATGCTCTCTTTTGTAATTCAACTTGAAAAATCCCGTTACAATGAGAAAAATAAAAAGAATAATATAAAAAAAAAACAGTTTTGTAAAATTTGTTCACTATACTGGGCACTTATAAAAATTTTTGTTCACAGTGTAAGGCAGTCAATGCTAAAATTTTCGTGTTCACTCGACTGGGAAGTTCATAAAGTCGGGCGTTCACTAGAGCAGATTTCTACTGTATATCGTAATATGTAGATAACGTATATATGGGAAAATCAGCTAGAATAAAAGTAATATTTTTTTCTGATTATTTTGATTTTGTTTTTATTTTGTGT